GTCGATGTTTTCTTTATTCGGTCAGAAGAATGCCTAACTACTCTCCCAATAAGTTGGATAGCATCCATTTTGGTTAAGTTTTTTATTTGACTTTAAAGCAGCTTCTAATAAAAACAACAAAACATGTTTCAATAAAATCATAAAATAAAATATATATGTCATACTTGAATACATGTCATGTTCCAAATCCAAAAAACTTTTTTTTTTTTTTTTTTAAAAGATCATTTTTAATTTTAAATTAATCAAACACATTAATAAACTAATAAGAATACCAGTGACAGCGTTACATAGACTTGTCAACTCTTTAAACTTTTTTTTCTTCTTTAGACAATTCATGCTGTATTCTGACAAAATAGTGTCTGTTGGCAGTCTACATATATAAAAAAGAAGATAAATGCTCTAATGTCAATCATAAATGTTAAAACTCAAACTTTTGCTAATTACTTACAAGAGCAAAATATTTTTAATTGTATCAGCTAGATTTTTATCGCCAATTAATGATAACTGTTTTATCTAAAAAGAAACAATGTATAAGAAACATTAAAAATGTTTATGACAATTTAAAATAAATATTGTAATAATATTTATCATACAAACTTTAAAGATGAAACTCATGTATACAAAAGTGATGTATTGGATATCTCTATTTGCAAATTTTTTTTTTCAAAACATTAAGTTTATCTGAACTTTTACGTTGTTTAAAACCTTCTTCTGGATTATTAGAGAACAGTGCAGTTCTATCTACTAAATTTTTTTTCATTTCAGCAAGTTAGAATATAAATTTTTTCTGAAACTTTGAAAAATAAAATATATAAGTAAAGCCATATAAATAGTATATAAAGTAGTAAATAGTAATTCCTATATATGGTTGAGAAGAGGTAGATTTAAACTGAATAATGCTTAACCTTATAAGAATATATATGTATATATATATATATATATATATATATATATATATATATATATACATATATATATTGATATATATATATATATATATTGATATATATATATATATATTGATATATATATATATATATATATATATATATATATATATATATATATATATATATATATATATATATATATATATATATATATATATATATATAGTGAATATGTATGCATCATATAAACATTAATGTATAAATCATGTATATATAAATAATAATACATCAAATTAAATTAAGCCACACAGTAACTTGGTGTCAACATAAGAAATAATCTTAATAATTATTTATACAACCAGAGATGGAAAGATCATAAAATTGAACGAAACAACACAGGAACAACAAAATATATACAATTTATTTATTCATTTACCTATTTCTACAGCAAAGATATTACAAATCTTAGCATATATATATATATATATATATATATATATATATATATATATATACATATATTATAATATAGATATATATACATATATTATATATAGATATTACAAATCTTAGCATATATATATATATATATATATATATATATATATATATATATATATATATATATATATATATATATATATATATATATATATATATATATATATATAAACGTTCTAAAGACATTTTTTGCAGATGTTTTAGAGATGTCTCTGACTGGTGTCATATGAATGACTTAAGGAAGTCTTATTCAGACGTCCTAGAGATTTCTGAATATTACCAAGACATTCTTTTAAAAGTTATATAAAAACGCAATAAATTACAACACACACCTTAGATTTTCCTTAATTTAGGCAAGGGAAGTTATAAAAAGAAATCTAAGTAGATAAAGTGTAATTTGATATATTTAAAATAAATTAATTACTTTACAAAAAATAAGAATAATTTTTCAAAAAAAATTACCCTTTCCAAATTAAAAACTATTAGGTACTGTAGAATATAATCGATAGTACATTATAAATAGAAGAAAACTGCTGAAAAATGGAAAATAAATAAAAAATACAACAGCTAATTAAGCCGATCATTGATCGATATTCATATTAGTGGATGTTTTCTTTAATCGGTCAGAAGAATTCCTAATTACTCTCCCAATAAGTTGGATGGATGGCATCCATTTTGTTTTTATTTGACTTTAAAGCAGTTTCTAATAAAAACAACAAGACATATTTCAATAAGATCATAAAATAAAATATACTTGAATACATGTCAGGTTCCATAGCCAAAGAATAAAAAAAAATATATATTTTATTAAAACATCATTTTTAATTTTAAAAGTTATTCAAACACATTAATAAGCAAATAAGAATACCAGCATTACATAGACTTGTCAATTCTTTAAACTTTTTTTTTTTCTTTAGACCATTCATGCTGTATTCGGACAAAATAGTGTCTGTTGGTAGTCTACATATATAAAAAAGATGATAAATAATGTACAGTCAATCATAAATATTAAAATTCAAACTTTTGCTAATTACTTACAAGAGCAAAATATTTTTAATTGTATCTACTCGATTTTTTTACCGCT